AAGCCCCTGCCCCATTCACCAGGGGCTGTTCACCTGCCTGTCTCACATCTTATTCCCATGCTCGCCGCCCACCAGGGAAAAGGACCCCTGTCCCTGCCGGGTCTGCCTGCGATCAGGAACGGCACTGCCCGAGGGCAGCTCACAGACTGCTGACTGCTGGGGCGCTGACACCCAGCGAGAGGAGCAGCTAGATCTGCTGAGAGAACCTTGTCTTAACCACAGCCGAGTCCCCGGGACCCACACCAGGGCCTAGAGCATAGATGCTCAGGCAACATTTGTGAAGCAAAGGGACTCTGGGAGTCTTGCAGAGCTGGGGCTGTAGGCCCTGGGGCCCGGGGTGGACTGTGAGGCATGTGAGGCATAGAGCAGCCCCCAGCAGTCCTGGTGTGGGCACGAGGGGGCCGGCGGAGGCCCCGGGTTGTCATGGGAGGGTCGTGGGTGGGCAGGAGTGTCTGGTTGCTGCCCACCTGGAAGATAGCTTTTTCTCGGGACAGGGAAGCGCCGAGGTGGGCAGCTGGGGAAGGCCTGACAGCTGCTTGGCAGGGTGGTGGGAAGCCAACACCCCCATTGGAGGAGGAGTCCTGGTTGTGGAACTTGACGTGGGCCCTTGGAGGGACCCCAAGGAAAGCCCCTCAGGGTGCTAGGGAGGCTGCATTTCTTGGGGGTGGGGTGCTGGCCCGGGAAACGACCTTAGCCTCCCTCGTCCTGGAGAGCTGGCTCATTCCAACTTGAGCCCGCACCCTCCAGACTACGGGCCGGGAGCCGGGGGCCATACTCAGAAGACAGCCAGGGCTTGCACACCCTGCCTCAGGGTGTGGTGACACGGGCCTCTGAGCCCAGGACACCCTGCACGTTCCCACCCCATGGCTGCAGTCTCCTCCCTGTCCACCCTCACTCTCATAGGTCCCCTGGCCACCCCACCTGGGACTGAGCCCAACCCTGCCCAGCCCCAGCCCCACCATCCTCAAGGCCTCCTTCTGGGGCTCCCTGCCCCATCCCTGGGGTGGAGATCAGCCTCCTGGCTCCGTGACGCCAGGATGGCCATGACCTCACCAGGGGCTATGTGCCGCCTGGCCTGGCCAGCGGGGCTGGATGCAGCACAGAGGCCTGAAGCGGGGCAGGAGGAAGCATGTCCTCGCTGCAGGCACCAGGTGTATTGGGATGTGCTGGAGCCATGACTAGGGGGACTTTTAAGAATAGAACCCGAAGCCCAGACAAGGCATCAGGGCAGGGCACATGGCCTCCCTGCTTCCTACAGGGGCACCCCCCAAGTTACCAAGGCCATGGAGCAAGCTGGACGGGGCACCAGGCCTCCCCGGGGCTTGGAGTCTCTTGGTAAGCTGCTCTGGTGGCTGCTGATCCCCAGGCTGGGGTGCCCCAGGCTCCGTGTTGCAGGCCTGCCCGAGCCCCCAGCCCTGCCCTCCCCCCAGCGCTGTGGTTTTGCCTGCTGGGCTTCTCCAGGCCCTTCTGCACCAGGAACTTCTCCCCCACGGGGGTGCAGGGCCACTCCAGCTGCAGTTCACTTCCCACAGGGACCAGTGGGTGCTTGGGGACTGGGGGCATATTGCAGAGGGGGTTCCCGGAGGCAGGGCCTGCCTCTTCTCAACAGGGGCCTCCCTCACGACCACCTGCACTGAATCCAGAGCGGGTGGTCAGCCAGGCAGGGTCAGAGCCAAGCAAACAGGCTTGAATTTGCACAGGAGCTCCTGTGGTGATCCCTGCCCCCACGCCTGACCCTTCCCCCCTCCGGCTGGGGCTGGTAGAGGAGCACTGAGTGGGGCCAGGCACCTGTCAGCTGTAGCTCCTCCTGTGAGAAGGCTGCCGCCTGCCACCTGCAGGCTGGTGGGAGCTCGACCCACCCCATCCTGCCCACAGGCCCCTCAGCATCTCCCCTGGGACAGCAGCAGCCTGTCCGGCCTCCTTTCTGTGGGTCTCAGCCTGAGGAGCCATAGAGAAGGGGGTTCAGAAAGGAGACTCAGAGGGTGGAGGGAAGGGCCTTATTTATCCGGGACAGGTGCTGGGCCTGCAACTGGAGCTGCCCTCTCCCCGCCTTCCCCACACCAGCCAGTTCTCCAGGAAGTGGGGGAGGGGTGGGAGCAGCAACAAAGGCCCGCCCCACCTGTGCCAGCCTGTGCCAGCCCCGCCGGCCACTGGGCCAGAGTCTGGGCCTGCTCTGGGCCTTGCCCCTGGGTGCACGCTGGGTCCTCCCCTTAATGGGAGAGGCGTGTGCTGTTGTCCGGCTCTGCTCCTCCCAGCTTGTCACCTTGGAGAGGTGGGTTCACCCTGTAAAAGGAAGACAGTGCCTTTGTGAGATGCTATGGAACCAACGGGCACTTGTGGAGTCCTTGGCACCTGCTGTCCCTGGGCACTAGTTGTGAGAATGGCGGGGAGGGGGCCTCAGCCTGGGCGGGGCAGGCCAGGGGACCGGCCCTGAGGACCAGCTCCCTGGCAGTTTTCAGCTCCAGTATTTGTCAGACTCTGCCAGCTACAATGGGGACCCAGAGGACAGAGGGTCCCCAGGGAGGGGAAGGCCAAGACTATTCTGGGGCAACTGTGCCGGCAATTCCTGGAATCCAGAGCTGCTGGAGCTGCTTCTTGGGCAGCGCCTCAAAGTGCTGACAGGCCGAGCTGTTTATAGCCTTTAAGGTCAGGCAAGCCTCCGAGGCGCCCCCACCCAGGAGCAAACTGGAGAGCCCACAGGCCCACCACGGGAATGCGTCTTAGCGGCCCCCCAGCAGGCCCTGGGCCGACTTCATGGACCGCCCCAGGCTCCAGGGGGGCGGCAGCAAGCGTGAGGAGGCCCCGGGCCCTGCTGGGCGGCCCTCTAGGCTGGGAGAGCTCTGTCCCTCTCTACACAGGCCCCTCCCGTCCAGGGCAGAGTCTATCGTTGCAAAGGCCCCTAGGACCACGCCTCCCCTCTCCCCAGGAACCGTCTTAAGAGGCTTGGAGGGACTTTGCTGTGTCCCAGTACCCTGCGGGCCCGCCGGGCGGGATATGCCCCCAGGAGCATTCTGCAGGTGACCTCCCGGACACAGACGGAGCTGTGGGCCTGGACTGGAGGAGGAGAGCTCTCGAGAGACCCTCGGAGGGCCAGGGAAGGGGATGGTGTGGTCAGCTGGAGAGGAACCAGGGACCCCTGGCTTTGGGCACAGGGAGGTCGTTGTCCTGTGTGCAGTGTAGGGGCCAGAGCGAGATGGCTGGTGTGAGCCGCTGGGAGGTGGCGGAGGCAGGGCCTGCTGTCCCTTCTTGAGGAAGCCTGAGGTGAGGAGGGAAAGGAACGCGGCAGGAGGCGCTGGAGCAGGTCAGACAGCGGGGAGAGACTTTAGACTATTTTCTTAGAGCAGTTCCAGGTTCACAGCAAAATTGAGGGGAACGTACTGAGATTTTCCATCACCCCCCTCCCCCGGCCCTGCGTATGCACAGCCTCCCATCATCAGCCTCTCCCACCGGAGTGGTGCAGTTGTTACAGCTGATGAGCCTCCATGGACACATCATCACCACCGGTTCATTAGGGCTCACTCCTGTTGTTATACAGTCTGTGGTTTTGGACAAATGTTCGATGACATGCGTTTACCATCCAGCGTAGAGTGTTTTCCCTGCCCTAGAACCCTCTGTGCAAGGAGACGCTTTTGAAGCTTAGATAAGACTCTGCCTTGCTTATTGGCCAGGCTGGGGTTGGAAGTGGGGCCATGGGGAGACAGAAGTTCCAGTAGGAGAGTGGGGGATGGAGCAAGGCCCCAGGGGAGTCCAGATGGGACTCTAAGAGCATGGCAGGCAGTAATCTAATCGCACAATGTTAGATGCACTTAGGGCTCCAAGGAAATCCCCCGGGATGGGCCCCAGGAAGGGTGGGGAGGAGATGCTGGAAGCGACACCAGCCCAGCATCCACCGGCTGCCCTTGCACCCCCGCACCCCTCCCATCACCCTGACGTGGACAAATCTGGAGGGGGAGGCAGGCAGGGCCTGTCTGGTTTTGAGCACGGGGAGAGATGGCTGGGGACTTCCTCGGGGAGCCCAACTGCCCTCCGGCTGCCAGCGGCCTGGGAACTGGGGAGCCAGGAGCCAGTGGCATGGGTGCCCCTGAGCCCCACCGGCTCCTTGCTTCCCCGGCAGCCTGGACAGAGCATCTCTCCCCGGCGGGTGTGAGGCCCTCCAGGGGCGGCATGTGGCTGAGGCTGCTCAGCCAGGGAAGCCCTGTGCACCCCACTCTGCCGGCTCTGGCTCTCGTTCTGGAGCCAGGGATGCAGCCTCCCAGCCCCGCCCCGCTGGCTCCTCCAGGGGGAGGAGCTGGGGCAGCACTTGGCTCCTCAGTTGGGAGCTTCCTTGAAACTCCCTCAGCTCTGTGCCCTCCTTACACACTTCCGTTAACTGCAGTGCTCGCCGTCCGGGGGCCAGGTGTCCTCCTCTCCACACGCACAGGGCATGGGGCTGGCACTGCAACCTCAGGTCTGGCTCAGACCAAAGTCCATGCTCGTCCCTTCACTTCCTCCCCACGGGCTCCTGCAGGTGGTGGGGCCACAGCTGCTCGCTGGCATCGTTAGCCCTGTGCCCCTCGGGGCCCCTGAGGACCTGGCTCAGCAGGTGGAAGGACTCCGGGTGGCAATGTTGGCCCCAAGCACTTTGAGCCCATCTGCGGGAACCTGTGAGCCGAGACGCAGGCCTGGAGCTCTGCCAGGACTGGTTCCCAGCTGGTGACGGGAGAGGCGGAAAGTGCAGTGGGATGAAGCAACGATTACAAAGAGCCCTTCAAATGCTTAAGAGGAGAAAAACTAAAGAAAAGAAAACCCCAAGGATTTAGCTGCTTTGGGTCCTTCCTGGGGTGAGGAAAGCAGAGAGGGATAGAGTCCAACAAGAGACCCAGGTGTGTCTTATGCCTGGAGCGCACCCTTCACAGCGCTGGGCTCCAGGCAAGGGCGCAGGGTGCCCCACCCTTCTGTGGGCCCACCTCTCCTGCGGTGGGAGGGATGTGATGACCCTTGGGCCCAGCTGGAGATCCCAGCCTGCACCCCGCCTCTCCGTGGAAAGCTGGCAGAACTGAAGAGCACGCCCTGCAGGAGGGTGGCAGCCAGGGTCCTGGATCTGCTCGGTGGCCAAAGGCCAGGCAGCTGAGCCAGGATGGGCAGACACAGGTGCAGGGAGAGAGGCGCCAGGGGCAGAGGAGCCTGGTCCTGACCAGGCCTCAGGGAGGCCGAGCTCTCCCCTGGGAACAAGGACCACCCATGGGTACCTGAGGCTGCCGGGAGCAAGGCAGGGCCTGGCAAAGGGAAGTTTGGTGTGAGCCAGCCCGTGCCCAGAGGGGCTCCAAGCGCAGGACATTCCAGATTCCCCACTCCCACCCCCACCCCCTTCCCGAGCTGATCTGGCCCAGCCTCTCTTGGATGTCATTCTGGTGTCCTTGCTCACGCTGTCATCCACCATGTTCCGGACGTGGCTCTGGGCCTGGCGGTAATCACTTCTGTAGGCAGAGGCCTGCCCTGCTGTCTGGGGTCTGTGTGGACAGCGCCCCCTCACCTGGGAGCTCCCTGCCGCAGGGTGATGGGCCTTCTCTGTGGTTCCTTAGAAGCATCTGGGGAGCCCTGGTGTGGGGGCATGGGCTGGGGGGCCCTGCGGGCAGTCCACGGGAGGGCAGTGGCCTGCTCACTTCATCCCAATGGGAGCCCCGGGGCTGTGCTTTCTCTGAAGCGCTTCTGGCGAAGCTGGCCTGGTGGGTGGAGGGAGGGACCGGCACGTGGAGCAGCAAGTTGAGTGAAATGTCACGGTCGATTAGAGCCTTGGTGGTGGGTATTTGGGTGTTCAGAGTAAATCTGTTCCACTTTTGTAGACAATGTCTATATAAGACGCTGGGAGAGCACAGGCCGGAGAAGCCAGGAGGAGGGAGCGGCTCCTGCCTCAGGAGTCCCTTCTCAGCCTGCGGTGTTTTGTTTTCCTTTGCTGTTGCTTTTGGGCCCTGTTTAGCGCCTGTGCTGGTGGAGGCTCCTGGGCCTGGGTCGGCAGGAGGGTGGTGTGCAGTGTGAGAGGCGGGCCGAGCGGTAGCTAGAAGTCCTGGGGAGCAGGCTGGACTGCAGGCCCACCGCCGACCGCGTCCCGGGTTCGTTTCTCTCCCGTCCTCATGGTCTCAGCAGACCCAGGGC